ACTTATAAAGTAATAAAATGGGAAAACATTAAACATAAATAAAACCGGGTGATTTCTTCATATTCTTTGGAGTAATAAGTTGCCCTTGCTGGAAATGGTATCCTCAGTTCCACAGACTCATTCAAAGTGCGAGCAGAACATGGAGAGAGGGAATTTTAAGCCCCCCAAGAAGTGAAAGAAGATTTGAAAGAAATACTTCAGAAGTTGCACAAAGATCAGCACCTCTTTTCTATTCATTAAGGCAGCTTTACTTCTTTTAGGCTTCCTTGAAAGAGATGCTACTGATAAAAAGAGTCACTCAAGAAGGTTAATCTCTCTTAAAGTACCACTACACTTTTTTCATGCTTTCAGGAAACCTGAAAAAGGTAGAGCTTAAATGCACAGCCCATAAACATCTATGGTGTCTATGTGTCTTAAAACTAGCAAAGACAGTACAACTGCACAATTGAAGATCTTCCCCCTTTTAGTATATTGCAAATGCAGGGCTTCAAATTGTGCAGCTGTGGTCACATCTTGATTGATTTTTAACTCTCCTTTGGATGTCCTAACAAAGCCTTAGCAGATATCTCACTGTTCCCCTCCCCAGGGCCGGATTTTCCTATAGGCTAACTAGGCTTCAGCCTAGGGCCTCAAGATCAAGATGGGCCTACATTCCCTACATTCAAATTGTTAGCAAAATTAAAATTATATCACTATAGGTGAAAGGGCCTCATAAGTGGAATAGCCTAGGGCCTCTTTTCATCTAAATCCGGCCCTGCCCCTCCCCCATAAAAATCCTGTTTGGGTTCTTTTTTTCCAGTTCTACCTTCTCACATAAGTTATTGTCCCTGTTCTCTCTGCTATGTAGTGATAAGGAAGGATTTTGTTCCTTCCATCTTTACAATGGCCTGGTGCACTCAGAGAGGTCATTGGTGACTGTCTTTTAACCAACCCAGTACAAGTCATACCTCTGATCATCTTGTATAAACGCAGCATTAGAATTTCTGCATAAAAAGGCCATGTTTTCCTTGCAATCTTTTTTGTCTGAAAGGTATTTTTTCCTGCCTGGTCAGAATTAAATATTATTCCAAAGACATAAACTTTCAATTCAGTACAGTACTTACAATCAATAATATGCTCTTGGGAGTCAATTAGCACAGTCTCATATTATAACTGTTGGGACCTTCCACCCCCACCCCACACACACTTACGTTCCTACTATTTTTCTCCGGCCTCCTCTCAACCCATTCTGGGAACTGGTTTCATTCAGGACTTTGTTTCCCATTGAGCCTGGCACTGATGTTAAAGTTACATACACATCCCATCATGAGTCAAATCCTTTTGCGGAAGAAAGCAGTCTGGATATGAAGAAAAGAATTCTGTGATTCCAGTGCTGAGAAGAGAAATTCTCCTGAAATCCTTCTCCCCCCCCACCCCCTACACACATCCTCATTCAGTTTGGTGAAAAAGAGTTTGAGTGACACTGTGGAGTATGATGTTTCTGCAGTGATTTAGGGATCTTCCTCATTTACCCTTCCATACAGTATGAATATTCGTGTTTTATTCTGCTTTCATGCTTTCGGCTTAATCCCCAGCACAAAACTGAGGGGGCTTAAAATCACCCTTACTCAATTCTCCTGTGGCACAAATTATTCCTGTGATGGATATGATCTGGCGGATTTCACCAATCATTTGCTCAGAAGAAGGAACTGGTGGGACATTGTGGGAAGTTGAAGGGGGAGAATGCAGTTTATGTGAGGAAAGGTAATACAACCCAGGCAGACAGACCATGAGAAGAAATCACTTCAAAGCACTTCCCCTTAACTGACTTACTGTGAGTCCACCTAGGAATTTAATCTTGCAGTTTTCAAGATTATGTTTTAAATCATCTTAATAGCGATTAAAATTGCCTCCCTGAAAGCCATGCGGTTCTAGCTTTCTTGGTCTGCAAGCTGTAAGGGGCTTGACATGTTCTATCCATTTTGGATTGGGACAGAGGAGATACCAAACTCCAGCAGAGGCATCTGGTGGCATAATGCCTGATAAGTACTTTCCATTGTGTTAATCAGGTCTTATGCAACCTCATTATAAGTGTGGATTTAGCTCTCTTTTGAAAGAGCGTTAATTCTATGCTTCATTGAAGATTAGCTATGCTGCACAGGTGAATTGAAACTGGGAAAGGGGGCTGGGTTTGCTAGATGGGCGTTGCTATTTCTGTCACTGCTTGGTTCATTGAAGCTTTCCCACTGTTTCTGCCAATGTAGGATTTCGCATGGCTACCTATTTTGTTCTTTTTACTATTTGTATTCCTCTGTGGTTTCACACAAAAGCATTATTCTGTCCACCTGACTGAGCGACATTTTCTGTACCAGTTTCATGTATCTGCAATTCCAAAGTTCTTGGTTCAATGCATTACAATTTGTTCCAAAGTTAGTATATGTGCTAATATACTAACCAGCATCTGGTTAGTCTATCAAAGCCAGCATCTTTAGAGTTAGTTCTGTCTACCTTGTTCGTTCCATGTCCACTGTATGGACAGTGATATAGTGTCAATTCTTGTTATTATGATAGGCACAATTACAGTGGCACGATTAAGGAAGCCTATTGTTGTACACATTGTTCTCCCTAGTCCACTGGTGTCAAACTCGGCGTGTCATGTTGCTATCACGTGACGTTTCACGATGTATTTCCTATTCACAGAGCTGGGGTGGGCGTGGCCTGTGTGGGATGCATCCAGCCCGTGGGCTACCAGTTTAACACTCCTGCGGCAGAGGTGAGTTTCAGCAGGTTCTGACCAGTTCTGGAGAACCGGTAGCAAAAATTTTGAGTAGTTCGGAGAACCAGTAGTAAAAATTCTGACTGGTCTGTGCCTCCCAAGTCCCAGCTGATCGGGAGGAAATGGGGATTTTCCAGTAACCTTCCCCCGGAGTAGGGTGGGAATGGAGATTTTACAATATCCTTCCCCTCACCAAGCCACTCCCACTAAGCCATGCCACGCCCACCAAGCCACACCCACAAAATTTGAAACCCACCACTGTCCTGCTGCCTAGTCATTCTCAAGCATTTCTGGTACTGCTAGTTATAACATCAGACCTACAGGACTCTCTCATTTCTGCCAGCACTAATATTCCCTTGCAGCTCAAATTGAGATTTGAACTCAGTACAGGTAGTCCTCGACTTATGACCACAATTGAGCCCCAAATTTCTGTTGCTAAGTGAGATATTTGTGAAGTGAGTTTTGCTCCATTTTATGACTTTTTCTTGCCACACTTGTTAAATGAATCACTGCAGGTGTTAAGTTAGTAACATGGTTGTTAAGTGAATTTAGCTTTCCCATTGACTTTGCCTGTCCGAAGGTTGCAAAAGGGGATTACATGATTCTAGGACTCTACCTCAACCGTCATAAATATGAGTCAGTTGCCAAGTGTCTGAATTTTGATTGCATGACCATAGGGATACTGCAACAGTTGTAGGTATGAAAAACGGCCAAAAGTCAGTGCTGTTGCAACTTTTAGCGGTCACTAAACGGGAACTGTTGCAAGTTGAGGCCTACCTGTATTAATCTTGTTGGGTACCTTCCTTTTCTCTCTTTCTTTATTCTGTGCTCCCTGCAAGACTCTTGTTCAAACTATTTTTGAATACAGCCTTAATGTTCTTTCAGAAAAGGATTTATACCTGTGTTCAGAAACAATCCTATTAACAAGGATATAGAAGAAGGATTGGAAGGAGAAATAGAAGACTTGTGAATCATCTGTGAACCAACCTAGATTTCTTGTCTCAGAAGACCCTTTTACTGTCATCACTCAGATTGTTCCATTTCTTTCCCATCTAACGTAGATATCTTGATATCTGACTGACATACCATTAACAGTAAAGTTGTGTTGCAGGCTTATAACTTTTTTTACATGCAGAATCTTACGTGATTGGAGGTTCATAGGTTTTAACCCTTTAGTAACAAGTAGCCCACAGATGAAATCACCACTCTCTTCCATTTATTGTTATCAGATTTCCTCTTTTTCACCTGAGCTAAGCATAATCAACTCTTGCTTTCTTTCCTTGCAGGGCATTATCCCAGGTCCCTCACCATTTTTGTCACTGGAGAATTCATTTTCCTCAAAAGATTTCATAAACAGGATTGTCAAGAATCTTAGCAAAACATCTCTATGAATCACATTATTTAACCTCACCACCACCAAAAAAACTCTTTAAAAAACTTTGTCTTTGCATTTTTATTTTAAAAAGTAATTGTGAAGAAAGCTACTGCATTAATAATATAATACTGAGTACTGTCATTAACCTTCCAAAACCTAATGAGATTGGTCCCTAAAGCGTGTTTAGAATTGTAGTCTTAGTTAACCTTACTTTTCACAGATGGATGTTGTTACCTTCCGATTTTATAAGGCTGGCAACCAGTACCAAACTGAAGTATCTGTCCACCTCAATTAGCACCATCAATTTTGATTAACAGTGGAATTAGGGCTTCAGGAGAGATCTTTTTCATCATCTCCTACCTGATCATTTACTTCAGATTAATTAAATTTAGGTTTATGAATGCCATTTACCATTCAGCATACCCAACAGATACGTATTGGTAAATTAATTAAGGGGAAATATATCTAGACTTATTAGAAAAAAATGGCACTTTCTATTATAGCTCCCATTACCCCTAGATAGAAAGTCTAATTATAAAGGATTATGGGGGTTACATTTCCTCTGTTCTGTTATCTCTTCTTTTAACATTTGAATAATAACTTGGGCTACATCATCCATTGTACATTGATATTAATCTTGAAATATGAATTAGAAGGCATTAAATTTCAGGGAATAGACTTAAGAGAAAACCTGCACTGTTTGTTACCATGCCCATGACTAGAAGTTTGAAAGTTTGTTCAAAAAAGAGCAGTGATATATGTAACACAAAGATTTTGCTACAAGAAATCTCTATTCTACAGGCCTCAAACATATGAGAAGGAAAACATTTTGTTTTATGCAGAAGTCATACTGGAATATACCAGGTGAGGTTTTACCTTAAAGACTCATTTAATAGTTGAGAAAAAAATCCAAATATGTCAAACATGCTCAAGTCAATTCATTTTAAAAGTCCAGATCATCTTCATCAATAACATTTGAGTTCTGCTTTTTCTTTTTAGAGACTCGATGACTATCTTCATTGTCTTCATTTGGGGGATCTTCTCCCATCACAAAGCTTGCCTGAGATGATTGGTCTTCCTCCTCCTCTTCATTACTGTCAGGATACATCTTTGCAGGCTTACTCTCTATAACCAATTTAGATTCCCCATCACTTCCACAATCACCATCCTCATTGCTAATATTGTTTTTTTTCTTAGACTCATCTTCATCACTTGTATATCCAGATCCTTCCTGAGACTGTTGTGAAAAAATCCCCTCAGATCCTTTCTCTGATGCTTCAGTGGTCCCATTCTCTTTTGTTCCTCTGTCATCTTCTGGGTTCTGTACAGATTCATTGCTATCTTCACCTTCTGCTTCATTCTCTCCAGCTTCATCACCCTCCTTGTTCTCATCCTCTTCTTCAACTTCTGCTGTTTCTGAACATGCCTCACTTTTTGCCTCCAAACTGGCATTGTCCTCAGATTTCTGTTCACTACTGTCAGGAATCTCTTCCTCAATAATGGCCTGAGATTCACCAACATTTTCTGCAGGTTCATCTCCTTCGCTTTCTTTTTCATCCATTTCTACTGCACTATTATCTGTCACATCTTCAGCTTCTTGATCATCTTTTGGGGTTTCTTTTTGTTCTTTTTGTTCTTCATCCATTTCCTCTTCATCATTCACTTCTTTGTCTCCTTCACTTTTGGCTTCCATTTCCTGATTATTTTCTTCATATATTACTTCTTTTTCTCCCTGTTCTACTTTCACGTCCTTCTCCTGTTCTTCATCCTCTTTTCCTTCCTTAGGTTCCCCTAATATTATATCCTCTTCTGTTTCTGTTTCTTTCTCTTCCTCCTCTTCTTTTTCTTTCACAGATTCTGTCTCACTTTTTTCTTCATCTTCTATGTTGGGTTTTTCCTCCTCTTCATTCTCTTCCCCTTCTCCTTTCACAGACTCCTGTTGCTCCACCTCCAGCTGTTCCTCCTGCTCCTGTTCCTCCTCCTGTTCCTGCCCCTCTTCCTGTTCCTGCTCCTGTTCTTCCTGCTCCTCTTCCTGCTCCTCTTCCTGCTCCTGCTCCTCCTTCTTCTCTTCCTGCTCCTGCTCCTGCCCCTGCCCCTGCTGCTCCTCTTCCTGCTCCCCTTCCTGCTCCTCTTCCTGCTCCTCTTGCTCCTGCTCCTCCTGTCCCTCTTTCTGTTCCTCCTTCTCCTCCTGACCCTGCTCCAGCTTCTCTTCCTGCTCCTCCTCCTGCTCCTTTTCCTGCTCCTCCTCCTGCTCCTCCTCCTCTTCCCGGTTCTCCTGCCCCTCTTCCTGTTCTTCCTGTTCCTCCTCCTCTTCCCGGTTCTCCTGCCCCTCTTCCTGTTCTTCCTGTTCCTCTTTCTGTTCCTCCTCCTCCTGACCCTCCTCCTGGCTTCTCTTCCTGCTCCTCCTCCTGCTCCTCCTGGTCCTTTTCCTGCTCCTCCTCCTCCTCCTCTTCCTGGTTCTCATGCCCCTCTTCCTGTTCCTCCTCCTGTTCCTCCTCCTGTTCCTCCTGTTCCTCCTCCCCCTCCTGACCCTCCTCCTCCCTCCTCCTCCTCCTCCTCCTCCTCCCTCCTCCTGGTCCTTTTCCTGCTCCTCCTCCTGGTTCTCCTGCCCCTCTTCCTGTTCCCCCACCTGTTCCTCCTGCCCCTCTTTCTGTTCCTCCTCCTCCTCCTGACCCTCCTCCTGCTTCTCTTCCTGCTCCTTTCCTGTCCCTCCTCCTTCTCCTCTTTCTGGTCCTCCTGCTCCTCCTCCTGGTCCTCTTTCTGTTCCTCCTCCTCCCCCTCCTCCTGCTTCTCTTCCTGCTCCTCCTCCTGTCCCTCCTCCTGGTCCTCCTGGTCCTCCTCCTGGTCCTCTTTCTGTTCCTCCTCCTCCTCCTCCCCCTCCTCCTGCTTCTCTTCCTGCTCCTCCTCCTGTCCCTCCTGGTCCTCCTGGTCCTCTTTCTGTTCCTCCTCCTCCTGCTGCCCCTCCTCCTGCTTCTCTTCCTGCTCTTCCTCCTGCTCCTCTTCCTGCCCCTCCTCCTTCTCCTCTTCCTGTTCCTCCTGCCCCTCTTCCTGGTCCTCTTCCTGCTCCTCTTGTTCCACCTCCTGCTCCTCCTCACATTTTGATTCCTCCTCCCCATCACTTTCCACAGATTTCTTTACTTCTTGTTCAGCTTCTTCTTCTTCCTGCTCTGCTTCACTAATATCACATTCTGTCTTCCTATGAGCAAAACTGGTGTTCTTCATCCTCAGGATTTCTTGTAGATCAAAAGCCTTCAAAACTGGGTTTGGAGCCTTAGCCATCACTTCAGCTGTACGTTGTGCAGTCTTGACCACCATTTTTTTCCTCATACACTCATCACAGGGGCAATACTCTTCACCTTTTAGCTGATCGTCATAAGTTTCATCTCCTTGAATTGTATTATAAAAGAAGACATCTTCGTCAATGTCCCCTGACTCCAGTTGCTTATTTGAATTTGTGCTCTGGTCATTGATATAATTGCGTGATAACATACTTGTTAAACGGCGCCTCCGGCTTTCTAGTTCTGGAGTAGGTTCTTGTCTTAATTCATTTTCTGGAGGTTTTGGAATCTTCTTGCCTGTTCTGCTTTTGATTTTATTTAGTTCTTCCTCCACACTCTTTTGTATCCTTCTGCTCACTTCTTCTTTCAATTCTGCAATCATCAAATCCAGCTCTTCATTGTTTGTCAGGTTCCATTTCACTTTGAACTCATTCATGGCACTGACATAGTGTGTCATGAATTCCTTCTCGATCTTCTTCAGAAGTTTTAGCACCCAAACTGGGTCCTGGCTGCCGGATCTTTGTTGGATCATTGGAGAAACTTTCACTGTGCTTTGATGAGATACGTTACTAGATTCTGTATCATCTTTAGTCACAGACTGGTTTTCTGAATTGATCTTGGCCTCTTTCTCATCAATACCCTCATTGACACTTGAGTCAGGTTCTGTCTCATTGTTGCCTGCCTCTTTGCTGGGATTTTTTTCTACTTCTTTGGCCATGGTGTCTGTCTGAGCCTCCATCAGGATATTCTCTTCATTAGAGTCATTCTCTGCATCATCCACATTTTGATCATCGTGTATACTATTTGTGTCCAATTCAATATTGTTCTCATGATCCTGGTCTTCCTCTGCTTCTATTGCCTCCTGAACTCCAGCAAGTTCTGCTTCACTTTCACTTTCTAGTTTTGAACAAAGTGGCTGAGAATGTTCCTCTGGCTCTTCCTCATTACCATCTTCCTGCTCTGGCTTTCCTTCTTCGGGGAATTTGGCTTTATCTCTTTTCTCTTTTAACAAGGCACAATCATGGGCACATTCTTCTCCTGAACCTCCGTCACCGCTACTTAAATCAATCCCCGAAGAGGTCATTGTTGTAAAGTCCCCATCTTTTGAATTAGGGTCCTTGAAACTCGAGGATGTTTTTATCTGGCCTTTTCCTTGCAGCCCTAAATTTGGGTCCCCGTTTTCAAGTATGTTTCCAAACCACACTGCCTGGAAAATGTTTAAGAGTTCTTTGTATCTGAACCAATTCACGCATTTATTTTGTTTATTGGATGGATCCAATTCTTCATCAAGGAGCTGTAGAGTAGCAAGGCATTGTATCAAAATATTGGCTGAGTTGCTGAGGTTTTTTCCTAATGTAGGAGACATTTCAGGCAAACTATAGGAACGTCCCAATTTTGTTTCGTGTTTGGAAGCCAGCAGCGCTTTCATAATCTGCACAGAGATTTGAATGGTGTTGGGCAAGTCTTTTTTGTGGTTGTTTTGGCTGGGGATGTCAGAATGCTGGCACTCTCCTTGGTTAGTTTCAGCTTCTTCTGATATAATTTCTGAAGCCTTCTGGTCCTGGGGACAATCCTTTTCTGCTAGGTGTTCACAATCTTCTGCACCTTCCTTCTCACTACATTCCTTTTCCAATGAATCCTGGTTGTTTGAACAGTTGGGAATTTCAGCATGCAATTCAATTGTCTCCTCATCTTTTTCCATCTCACATTTCATCAGCAGAGATTCTGAAGGAATCTTTCTCAGCCACTCATGCACAACTTCTTCTGGAGAGGCATTGGGAAGTGAAGATGGGATGATTTGGTCACAAGTTTCTGTTTGGATCACTGTCTCTTCCTCTATTTGCTTTTTCTCATGCCCAGAGCCTTCCTTTTCCTCTGCCTCATTTGCTGTGTCCATTTCAGGCAACTGTGAACCAGCCATTTCTTTTTGCAGTTCATCTGCAGTCGGCTCCGATTCATTGCTCGCAGAGGCACTCTTGATGTTCTTCAGGAGAGACCGACTGTTCTTGCTGCTGGGTCTCCCTTTTGGGGGGACAGGGGAGTGGAAACTGAACTGGGTTGTAGATGCTTTTTCTGAACCCTGGCTACAATATTTCACACTAGCATTGCTTCTCTTTTTTTGTCTTGGTTTTGAAGATTGCGCTATGCTTGATTGCGAGCTGACATCATTATTCTCTGAGGCTTGCATCTCCGAACAAGTGCTCTTAGCATCAGAATGTAACAAGTTGTTTGAACTAGCACACTGAAGATTGTTGTTTCTGGTTTCTGCTATGTGGCCACATTTGGAGCACATCGATTCTGAGCTACTTTCTTCCCTGGAAATGTTTTCCTGAGTACTATTTTTGGCAGTATTGGCCCCATTTTTCCCATCAGATTCTAAAACATTGGAAATAGAGGATGATACCTCAGTATCTTCTCTCTGGGTCCTTTTATGACTACTTCTGGAGGACTTACTGTAGCATTTAGATATCCTGCTGGCATTTTCCTCAGTGGTGGCAGCTGCTTCACTTAAAGATGACACATTTGAATGAGAAGAATCATGAGATAATTGATCCCCTTTGTCTCTTTTCTCTACTTCATTTGAATTTTCTGAAGAATAGGTTGTCCCGCTGCTTGATCTTCCATCCTCCACATGTAAAGGTCCTTTGGTTTTCTTTCTCTTGATAGTGGATTCTCTACTTGACCCACTAGATACTTTGGAATCTCCTTTTGAGTCATATTGGTTGCACTTGCTTCTATTGAAGATTCTGGAGGCAGATACAGCAGCACTATGGATATCCATTTCACTGCTATCACTTCTATCTTCTTCATTACAAACTTTGGACTGGGAGACTTTGGTCTTAGACCTTTTGTTACATCTATTGACTTCACCCTTGATAAGACTATTGGACACCATCTTTTCTGAAACTGAATTTATTTCATTGTCCTCATCTTCCTTTTCAACCTCTACTTGTGTGTCAATTTTAGGGGGGCAATCATCACTTGAAAATGATGATATTTTATTATATGATGGTATGTGATCATTATCTGAAATCTTTTCTACCTTGTCTTTTGTTCCAAATGTACTACATTTACTGGATTTGCTACAGGCACTACTTGGAGAAGAACAGCCAATAACTTCTTCTCTTTCCTTAATGCTACAGGATGAAATTGTCCTTACCGCACTACTTGTTTCCTCTAACACGTTTATCTGGCTTTCTATAGAATATTGACATTTTGATTTGCTACTCCTAGCTCTACTTCTTCTACTTTCATTTCTTTCTTTCTTCACTATGGAACCATGTTCATTTTCTGAAATGGTCAGGCTAGCTACATCATCCGTTTTCTCTGATAACTCTTTTTGGCTTTTGCTTGTTTGCATATAGTGATCTTGACAGAAGCATTTTTTAATTCTATTGTTCTCCCTTTTATTCCCTAGAGTGTCTGAGAAATCTGAAGTCTCTTGTATGAGGTGTTCAGAATGTTTTCTTTCATCTGATGAAGTATGGATAGTCTCAATGGAGGTTCTCTTTTTATGGACAATTCTCTGGTGTGATGAAGTGCTTGAGCAAGAAGAGTGTGTGTACCAAGTGTTTGTTCCTCCTGGCTCTTCTTTTTGAGAAGCATGCATGGGGTTCTTCCAAATATCATAGTTGCTGTGTGACTTACTGCAACAATGGCAATAAGACACCTCATTTTCAGATTCATCGAGATTTGAAATGTAAGAGTCAGCATCACAAGGATATAATGAGTCTTCCATTTCAAAACTAGTCTCTTGGTTAATTTTCTCTCTTGGCTCACTTTGATTATCTTCCATGACATCTGATTCTTCACAGAGTGTCTGATTCATCAAGCTGGACTTCTTGATTTGTGTGGACCATTGAAGAGTCTCGTCAGAGAGCAGATGAAAGCAGACTTTCATTTCAACTGATAGACTGCCGTCTTTATTCATATATACTTTCTTTTCTATATCATCATTGACTAAGGAAGGGGCCAAACCCTCTCCTTTAGGACAATTGTTTGAAGAGGAGATTCCATTTTCTGGTGATGTTGCTGGACCATTCATGTAAGATTTTTCAGATGACAGCGAAAACCTCATGGACCGGTTGCTCAAAGATGATCTTGGGTGAATCACACTTTTTTTGGCTTTCAGTCCAAAATCCACTGTGGTTTGCAGCCGTGGGAGGGGGGAGGTAATGAGGAAAGAAAGGACAAAAATGAGGAAAAAATGAAAACATAATATCTTGAACTGATAATAATAGCAATAGCAATAGCACTTAGACTTATAAACCACTTCATAGTACTTTTACAGCCCTCTCTAAGTGGTTTACAGAGTCAGCATATTGTCCCCAACAATCTGGGTCCTCATTTTACCGACCTCAGAAGGATGGACGGCTGAGTCAACCTTGAGCCTGGTAAGATTCGATCTGCCACATTGCTGGCAGCCAGTGATCAGCAGAAGTAGCCTGCAGTACTGCATTCTAACCACTGCGCCACCGTGGCTCATTTAATAATAAATTGGGCCACCGTGGCTCATACAATAATAAATTGTAGCAGTTGCTTTAATCACAAAGAATCTGGTTCCGCTTTTAGAATCTCCACAGTTGTAAGCAAATCTATCACACATCTATTTTCAAGGGGACTAAAGACTGCCCTTGTCTTTTTTCTGGTGCTGTCTCTCAAGGCTTCAAGTTGTGCCAAGAAGAAAGGAAAATAGATTGCAGGGTGCATCCATCCCCTCTCTTCCCAAAATAGGTAGTTGCAAATGAAGTGTGGTAAGCTTTATTCCAAATCACCCAAAGCTTTTTAAAATACCAGTACTCCAAAACTAGGGAACTACTCCTGTCTGGCCCCATCATCATTTGTGTTTGGATTGCAGGTGACCAGTTGAGCAGATTATTGTCTAAAGCATGGGTGTCAAACTCACAATGTCACGTTGTCGTCATGTGACATATCGTGACTTTTCCCCCCTTCACTAAACTGGAGGTGGGCTTGGCCAGTGTGTGACGCATCCAGTCCATGGGCCACAAGTTTGACACCCTTCATCTAAACTAATTTTATTAGTACATTCTACTGTTGTCTTCTCTTGCCCCCAAACTCAGGAAATTAAACTGTTCACAGTAAACATTATGAATGCCTATAACTGGTGTTATTATGGTCTTTAAAAAAAAAAGCAAATGCTGGTTTTAATGGATGGAGGGTTAATAGCTTTTGATTCAAACAGCTGAATTAATTAAGCAGAAAGAGGAGAGGTTCAAGCCTGGGTGCGGTCACCGAGGGAGTCACCTGCTGCTGCTGCCACCGAATAAGACCTGTTGATACCAGTCGCCATGAGAGGGTGGCTTGGTCATTGCTTTCTTGGGGCAGCGGCCTGAGACTCCTCTCCACTGCCATGAGAGGACAGTGGAATCCCGGTTTCGACCTGCGCCGAAATGGCGGACTGTCTCTCCCAGACCTTTTTAAACTTACCATCATTGAATCCCTGGCCTCATTCCATCTTCCCCAGGCGGACTTTTTAGGAATGTACTCACTGGCTGAGCTTTTTGCCTTGCGAAACTCCCCCCTCTCGCAGGCCTGGCCTTCTATGTTATCAAAGGCCTACCTCGATGATGGGTTTTGGAACCCAGAGAGGTGGCATGCCGCGAAGAGGGGGTTGAGGGATTTTTTATATAAATTTTTAAACAATTTTTTAAGGGGTTCCGGGGGGGGGAGGGTTGGATTAGAAGTAGGGTTGTGGGTATGGGGGATAACCCTCTAAGAGGAGGGTTGGGTATGGCTGTGAAGCGCGGCATGGAGGGTGGGGGGCCCAGGGTTGAGGGGGGGCTAAAGCGTATCCAGATAAAGTTTCTATCATCAGTACTGTGGGTGGGAGGGGTAGATATGGCGGGAGCAGGGGGCTATATCATGTTATGGGAGCACGCACCCACTATTTACGAGCGGTGGCACGCTCCGGCACCCAAAGTTCCACTTGTTCTCCAAGTTGCGCAGACCCTCAGGGCCCTGGCCTTCGGCTGATGTTGTGCAATGCCAGGTCTGTAGTAAATAAAGCCCCCCTCATTTGTGATCTTGTTCAGGAGGGGGGAGCGGACCTGGCAGGTATTACGGAAACCTGGCTGGGCCAAGAGGGGGGGGGGTCCCTCTCATTGAAATGTGCCCACCAGGTTTCCGCGCATTCCATCGGCCGAGGTTACAGGGTAGGGGCGGGGGGGTAGCAGTTATCATTAAAGAAGGTCTGAGACTGAGGGAGGCCACTGTTCCTCAGACGGCTAGCTGTGAATCCCTCCTTGTGAGATGGGGTCATGGGGTTCAGATGGGTTTGCTGATCACATACTGGCTCCCTGCCACGTGGCAGCAGCCCTGCCCAAGCTACTCAACGTCATCGCCGTGGTGGCAGTTGATACCCCTAGGCTCATGGTCATGGGGGATTTTAACCTGCCGTCTGTGGGTGAGGTGTCTGAGGTGGCTCGGCAGTTCATGGCTTCCATGACAGCTATGGACCTGACCCAATTAATTCATGGCCCTGCCCACATGGGGGGAAACACGCTGGATCTGGTTTTTGTCTCTGGACAGTGGTTGAGTGAACTTGAGATAGGGGATATAGTTACCGAGCCCTTGTCATGGTCAGATCACTCTCTCCTTCGTCTCGACCTTCGAACCGCTGCACCCCGCCGCAGGGAGGCGGAGCCGGTCAGATGGTTCTGCCCCAGGTGCCTGATGGAACCTGATAGGTTCCAGATGGAGCTTGGGCCATTTCCGGAGGCTCTGGCACACGCCTCGACTGGAGACCTAGTGGCCGCCTGGGATAGGGTGGCTGCTGGAGCTCTGGATCGGGTCGTGCCTTTGCGGCCTCTGACCCGGCGCTGATCTCATTTGGCTCCTTGGTTCACCGAGGAGCTGAGGGAGTTGAAACGCCGGAAAAGATGCCTAGAGAGTAGTTGGAGGGCCAGTCTTTCTGAATTGGACCGGACACTGGTAAGATCTCATATTAGGAATTACTTAGTGGCGATAAAAGCAGCGAAATGTTGTTATTTTGCTGCTCTTATTGCATCATCAGATAACTGCCCGCCACCCTGTTTAGGGTGACCCGCTCCCTGCTCCACCAGGAAGCGTGGGAGGACCCCTTGGAGGGTAGAGCCGAGGATTTTGTTCAGTATCTGTATGACAAAATCACTCAGATTCGGGAAGATCTGGACTCCGACTGGGTAGTCTCAGGGGGAGGGACTGGGGCAGGTCTTGAGAATGTTATCTGGGATGAGTTTGATCCTGTGACCCCTGAGGACGTGGAAAGGATTCTGGGCAGACTGAATGTGACCACTTGTTTATTGGACCTGTGTCCTTCCTGCTTAGTGCTGGCTTCCCGGGAAGTGACACAAGGCTGGCTCCAGGGGATTATAAATGCTTCCTTGGGTGAGGGTGACTTTTCCGCCACCTTGAAAGAGGCGGTAGTGAGGCCTGTCCTCAAGAAGCCTTCCCTGGACCCGGCAATGTTGGTAAACTATCGTCCGGTCTCCAACCTTCGCTTTGTGGCGAAGGTTGTTGAGAGTGTGGTTGCGCAACAGCTCCCCTAGCACCTGGATGAAGCGACGTATCTGGATCCGTTCCAGTTGGGCTTCAGGCCCGGGTATAGCACGGAAACAGCATTGGTCGCGTTGGTAGATGATCTCTGGAGGGCTCGGGACAGGGGGTGCTCCTCTGTCCTGGTCCTGTTAGATCTCTCAGCAGCTTTTGATACCATCAACCATGGTATCATGCTGCACCAGTTGGAAGAGTTAGGGGTGGGAGGCACTGTGTTGCAGTGGTTCTCCTCCTTTCTCTCTGACCAGTCACAGTCTGTGTTGACAGGGGGGCAGAGGTCGACCCCGAGGCCCCTCATATGCGGAGTGCCGCAAGGGTCGGTCCTCTCGCCCCTCCTGTTCAACATTTATGTGAAGCCGCTGGGCGAGATCATCCATGGTTTCGGGGTGAAGTACCACCAGTACACTGATGACACCCAGCTGTACATCTCCACCCCAGACCACCCCAACGATGCCCTTGAAGTGATGTCCCGGTGCCTGGAGGCCGTGTGGATCTGGATGGGGAGGAATAGGCTCAGGTTCAACCCATCCAAGACTGAGTGGCTGGGTTTCCGATGTCCCGATATAGTCAGTTGGCGCCATCACTGACTATTGGGGGTGAATCATTGGCCCCCACAGAGAGGGCGCGCAACTTGGGTGTCCTCCTGGATTCACGGCTGTCTTTAGAAGAGCACTTGACGGCCGTGACCGGGAGGATTTTTTATCAGGTTCGCCTGATTCGCCACTTGCATCCCTTTCTGGATCAGGACTCCTTACGCACAGTCACTCATGCCCTCGTCATCTCCCGCCTGGACTATTGTAACGCTCTCTACATGGGGCTCCCCTTGAGGAGCACCCAGAGGCTCCAACTGGCGCAGAGTGCGGCCGCGCGGGTGGTTATGGGAGCGACATGGCGCTCCCATGTAACACCCCTCCTGCGCGAGCTGCACTGGCTCCCGGTGGTCTTCTGGGTGCGATTCAAGGTTTTGGTTACCACCTTTAAAGCGCTCCATGGCTCAGGACCTGGGTACTTGCGGGACCGCCTACTACCACCAATAGCCTCCCACCGGCCGGTATGCTCTCATAGAGAGGGGCTCCTCCGGGTGCCGTCGGCCAAACAATGTCGACTGGCGGCCCCCAGGGGGAGAGCCTTCTCTGTGGGAGCACCTACTATCTGGAACGAGCTCCCCCCGGAGATACGGAGGATCCCGGATCTGCGCACTTTCCACTGCGCTCTAAAGACCTTTTTATTTCACCAGGCGGGCCTGGCCTAACTTTCTCCCTCTTTTTAAACAATTTTAATAATTTTAATATTTTTAATATTTTTAATACTCAAAGTTTAAATTTGTTTTAAATTGATTTGGGTTTTAATCTGTCTGGGCCAAACTATTTAATTCGATTTTAATTCTGCTTTTTAAATTTTGTATATATGTACTTTATTGTTGGCTGTTCACCGCCCTGAGTCCTTCGGGAGTAGGGCGGTATATAAATCAAATAAAAGTAAAGTAAAGTAAAAAAATTAGAAGGCTGAAGGAGAGCAGGAATTCTTGCTCCAATCTAAGTCATTTTCCCCTGTTCATCTGATTAGCCAACTGATACTTTCAAGAAGGCTTCATTCCTTTCCACTCCCTCCCCCAAATCTAGAAATAAAGTGCACCAGCCTAAATGCAGTCATCAGTAATTTGTTCTTACTTTCATTCTTTTTGCCTAAGGTGTTACTGTTGGAGTGGGAAGCTAGACCAGGTAATTTCTCCAAAGAGTGCTTCTTTGGATTTTGCATTAGGATTGGCTTGAAGGGTTCTTGGCCAACGCAGATGAGCACATTTGGGCAAAGCAGCAGACCTTGCATGCTGTCAATCTGGAGAGGAGGCAAACACAATAGCAGTCAATAGGGAGAAAGCAGGGACCAATAAACTGAAGGTGCCACTGATGGCTGAAGTTGGCTTACACCTCAGTCCAAATATAGAATGGTCACATCATTGTTATGATGGCATGTTTATGTGCATGTCTTCCAGTCTACGTTTCTGTCAAACTGAAGACCATAGCAAGGGTGGTAATGATGCATAGTAGACAGAGCTGCATCACACATATGGGTGGAATGGAGATTTTGTTTTGTTTCTTAGGTTTCCCTGACTCAAAACAGCAGAAAACCACAATATTTGGTAGCACAATTCACAGGGAACTGAGGAGCACAAAGAAAACAGGTGTATGATTCTCAAAAGCAGCATGTTGCCTATACTCTCCTATTTGAAGAGCTGTCCAGTTTACATCAACTTTAAAGATCAAACATTGTAAGAAGAGATAGAGCAAACTTCCTAGCAGTTAGCAGCCTCTGGGCAGGTGACTGAATAGCAGACACTGTAAGATTACCACCCAAAACAAGGTAATAGGCAGAAATGACCCTTTTAGGCTTTATTTTATATAATAAATCAGATTAATCAAGCAAACACAACTGATTGCAAGAAAACACATTTGCAGAACTGAAAATTGCATTATCGCTCTCTATTAAGACTCATATCTTACATACTAGCATAAGTCTGATGGGCCTCCTTTGCCTCCTCATTGGGTCACTATGATTAAGTTATGGGGTGAATGGATCAGAAGTACTGACAAAAAGGTAAAGTGTTAATGTATAGGAGAGAGTGTAGAGCAGGAGTCTCCAACCTTGGCAACTTTAAGCCTGGTGGACTTCAGCTCCCAGAATTCCCCAGCCAGCTTTGCCTGGTGGACTTCAACTCCCAGACAGAGCTTTGCTGGCTGGGGAATTCTGGGAGTTGAAGTCCTCTAGGTTTAAAGTTGCCAAGATTGGAGACCTCTGGTGTAGGGGTATACTACACTAACTACAGGTAGCCCTCAGTTTACAACTGGTGGCTTAGTCGCTGTTCAAACTTATGGTGGACCATCCAAAAACTACTTACAACCTAGTCCCAAAGTTATGGCTCCTGCAGCAGCCCACAGACTTTCCCCTTTATAACTAACCACAGGGATGCTGCAGTGCACCTGTGCCTATCTCTCCCTCATTCCCCCCAGCCAGGTCCTCCCAGACCTTGGGCCTGCTTCTCATCTCACTATGCCTCACACTCTCCTTCTAAGATCTCTGGAGTGCCAGAGTTTGGGTTAGGGAAGCATATTAAATCACTTTGGAGCTTTTTGCAGCAACTGTTTTAGGGAAGAAGAATGGACCAATTTGTTGCTGGCCCATGTGGCACATACCCGGAAGCAGCCGCCATTTTCCAAGTAAGCACAATTCCTTGTGCCCATGCTAAAATGGTGGCTGCATCTGTGATATGGCCCAAGAATGCTGAGGGACAGGAGGGCCTGTCCTCTTTTTGCAATGTGAAATCTGGACCTCCAGAGATCTTCGAAAGGGTGACAGGGTGATGGGGAGGAGGCCCAAGGTCTGCAACGACCTGTGTGGGGAAGCAGGCCCAAGCTCTGTGGGAATCCTGAGGTCAGAAAGTGGAGCACAGGATACCTTGGGGATGATGAGACCTCAGGAGGCCTGGGGAAAGTGGGCCTGTACCTGCATTAGGCCTCCAAGGTCCTCCCTCACACTTGAGGCACCCTATGCTCCATTTAATGATCACTTCAGGGAGAGCAGGATTTGAGGATCACTAAACAAAGCTATCTCACTCAATGGCTGTCACAACATGCAACCATAATGGGAAGGTCCATTACAGTCATAAGTTGAGGACTATCTGTAGATGTTTAATGCATCATCCAGCTGTGTTGGTAAAAAGAACTGCCATCATTAATTGGGTTGGTTGGTTTGTGCTTCCGTCCTGGGTTGCTAATGAAAACTTTGTGGTCAGAGACGCTATGCTAATAAATGCTGCCATGTTGTGTTCTCCTTTCCTTATGAAGATTTCAGCAAGCCTCATATTTAATTTTCTCTTCTCTCCAGTTTGCCTTTTTTGCCTTAGAATTGACAGCTTGGTCCTCAGTTATTTTGATGGGCTGTTTTGCCTCTGTATTTTATTTGTGGTTTTAAAACATTTGCAGTTGTGTATACCTATTAGCCAGAACTTTCCAAGATAAGCATTCTGATACTTGTCTTTAGATCGAGGATTACCTTTATTTATAAGCTGATTCTTGTGTAAATATAATTGTCATGCATTGGGATCACACAGAAATTTATAAATTCAGATTAGACTTATTTCGGTGTGATCACAATGCATGACAATTACATTTACACAAGAATTTTGCATTTGCATTTAGTGCTATGCCAGCATCAAGACTTCAGACTCACCCTTTTCCCATCTATTGTGTAGAGCTTCCTCACTGTGAACTGCATAATTTCTGAAATTTCATCCAAGAGAACTTTGAAGCTTTGTGCATTTCGACGGTTCAGGATAATTGGCAACTGTGTTGTAATATCTCCATTTTTGATCAGAGTGATTTTCTTGGGTATCCTTGGACTCTGTTGGGTGAAAGCCATTGAGTAATCTTCTTGTTTGATATCTTGAACTACTCTCTTGAGAACACTGGCTGTCTGTTTAACCTTTTGGGGACCCAACTTCCGGTTGGCAACACCAGGGTTAAGAGGTGTGACATATTTCTTATCTGAACAAAGATAGCATCCTCCATCCTCCAGCTGATCCAGTGTGCTGATGAAATGTATCCCCCGTGGGGTTGTGATGGCCCGCACCCCAAAAGGCAAGGGGATCTTGTGGGAGAGGTCATCCATGAGAGCATTGAAACTTTTGAAACTGCGTTGATTGATGGCCATCTTGATTCCTGCAAACTGTGGGTCCCCACTTTTGTAGAACGTTATTTTCTTGGCTGGAGGCACCTGGGTGACAGCATTTGTACGAACTGTTGGAAGAAGTGGTTGCTCATTGGTATAAGAACTGGTGAACTGACAATCAACAGGTGGTAGGCTCATCCTATGGAAGGTTTAGAAGTAACTGCAATGCAAGAAAAAAGGAGTATAATTATAATTACCTACACATGAAATACCATACATATATCCCAATAACCAGAAGTCTAGCAAACAAATAACCTAGCTGGAAATTCATCTAATTAGTCCATATATTTTATATTCCATCCTACCACCTCTTTATTAGTAGAATTAAGAAGCAGATTTAATGAAATATTTGTGCAATGCCCACTTGACAATTGTTCCACAATCTTGAGAGTGCATTTTTCCACAATTACTTGGACACCCCCTTGTTCCAGCTTTGTCTCCATTTATGACAAATTTACCTTCCTTAAAGTTTCTTGTTTGCATATATAACTTCTAGGATTCAAACCTGATTTCGGAGCCTTTAAAATTGTTTCTATCTATTTGCATGCGTGCAAGTAGGTGCACACACACTCACACAGACACAAATACAGACACACACACACACACAAAAACAAACAAACACAAACACACTTCATATTTTGCCCAAGGCATTGGGATTGGTTGACCTAGATCATGCTTGAGGATATTTATAGAAACATATTTTTTTATATCTATGTTCCAATTATCCAAATCTTAAAAAGTATGTCAGAATTAATCAGGAGCAATATTAAAGGAGAACAAGGCAGAATTTTTGAGGAACAGAGTAAATATACCACTTATGGAATTAAATTGAGTTAATTGTTTGAGAAAGACAAAATGTTATTCTTCCTCATGCATTTTTTCGTATCACCAGTCCAGATTTCCTAAAGCAAAGAACAGGAAGGACAATGGAGTTGTGGGTGCTCCATCACTGGAGGTTTTCAAAAAAGAGACTGGACAACCATTTGTCTGGGAAGGTATAAGTCTCCTGCCTTGAACAAGGGTTGGATTTGAAGACCTCTTAGGTCCCTTCCAACCCTACAATTCTATGTTCAGTGCTCCAAAATAGTTAGAAAACTTTGATCCCAGAATTAGGTTTTGCTTTTTCTGCTTGGACATGCTGGAATTAGGAGTGAGGAATGTTCTATGTGCAAAACAGTGGTGGATTCCTCCCGGTTTGGCCTGGTTCTCCCGAGCTGGTAGCAGTGACGATATGACATCACCGAACCGGTTCTGCCCCCCGCGCCCCCCACCCCCACATTATTCTTACCTTTTATTTGGTCCCACCCCCAATCTATTGCTGCCTCCTGAGTCCCAGCTGATGGCTAGAGGGAAAAAACCTGTTTAAACTCTTGCCGCGGGGCTTCAAAGGGCTGCCCTACAGCTGATCAGTGTTAAAAGAAAACAAATGAGTAGACCGGTGCCTGCAAAAATACATGAGTGGACTGGTGCCTGCAAAAATACATGAGTAGATCAGTGCCTGCAAAAATACATGAGTAAATCAGTGTCTGCAAAAATACATGAGTAGACCAGTGCCTGCAAAAATACATGAGTAGATCAGTGCCTGCAAAAATAAATGGGTAGACCAGTGCCTGCAAAAAATAAATGGGTAGATCGGTACAGCTCTGCAAGCAGTTAAAAACCTGGTAGACCAGTACCTCTGCTAAATCCTAAATAATTGTCACATGACCATCAAGCCACGCTCACAAAATAAGCCACGCCCACAGAACCGGTAGTAAAAAAATTTAGAACCCACCCCTGGTGCAAAACATGTCCTCTATTCAGATCTAGAGGCCTTTCATGTTAGATAGCACTTGTGGACCACAACTTCTCAGTTATGTAAAAAATGTGGTGCCATCCACTGAGATACATTTTGTAGACAGGGAAGTAGCGATATTCTTCTTCTGGAAGTGCCTTCTTCTAATCTTAGCTGCTATAAGACTGGTTGAAATTATAACATGGAAGTGGTATTATGCAAGATATTGTCCATTTTTTGACACACTGACACAAAATAGAAGTAAAATGGGCCAAGAAATATAAAGATCTGGAATCAGCTTTATAGTGAGCAAGATAGGCTAAAGTTTAAACAGAACTAATTACATTTAAAAGGCAACTGGACTTTTTTTTTTCTTCGAGGAAGAAGAAGATGTTTTTCTTCTCATCCAAGAAGCTGCATCATCAGGACAGAACTGAAATGTTAAATATCTTCCTCCAAGAAAAAACATAGTCCAACTACCTTTTGAAAAATCACCCTTAAGACAACCATGACTTTGATGACTGAGACTCAGAGGTGGGTTTCAGCAGATTCTGACTAGTTCTAGAGAACCGGTAGCAGAAATTTTGAGTAGTTCGGAGAACTGGTAGTAAAAATTCTGACTGGCCCCGCCCCCATCTAGTCTCTGCCTCCCAAGTCACAGCTGATCAGGAAGAAATGGGGATTTTGCAGTATCCTTCCCCTGGATTGGGGAGGGAATGGAGGTTTTACACTATCCTTCCCCTGCCACACCCACCAAGCCATGCCACACCCACCAAGCCATGCCACACCCACAGAACCGGTAGTAAAAAAGTTTGAAACCCACCACTGCTGAGACTCTCCATAATTACATTTAATACTATTTGCAAAGCTATCCCCAAAACTTTGCCCAGAAAGATCTTCGTTGAAGTTTCCCAAAAGTGTCTAAGCTTTTTGGGACAACTGTAGAAAACCAGTATTTGGGAGTTACAAATCAAATACTCAGCTTTTAAAACATAAGGCTATACATTCCTCACATCTCAGACACACATGGAAATGCTCTGGCGTGTCCTCATATACATGCTCTTATACCTCATATACATGCTCTTATACCCTAATAAAGCAGATGGGTTGCTTCAATTTGCATAACAGATGTCCCACTTTCTATGGCACACTTCAGGAGAACATAGCTGTATACCATATCTCCTGGGGAGAGATTATTTTGGCTTCATATATTCTAGATATATTATAAATATGTCTATTTATAATATATCTATTATATGCTGGCTGGAGAATTCTGGGAGTTGAAGTCCACAACTCTTAAAGCTGTCCAAGTTTGAAGACCTCTGGTTTAGATCAAAACTTGCTAAAGCTGACTCAGAACTTCAGTACAACCTTCAGCTGCTTGACTCTTGTACATAAACTGCCTTGAAATGAAATCAACTTAAGAAATTCCTTTCCAAATTTTGCCATCTTCCTCAACAAGTAATTCCTTGTTCTTCTGCTGTTCTGATAAAAAAACATAACAACAAGCTAGCTCTCCTGCAACTCCACAATTAAAGGTCCAGACTTTCATGGCAAGCAGCTCAGCATGAAATGACTGTTGAGAGAACAGAGAGCAAGGACTGAGGAAGCTTGTCCCAAATCCCACAACAGTAAACCAGAACGGAGGCATTTGTGCAAAATGGAATTAAGTACAGCAGGGGACTTAAAGGGGCGGGAGGACTTCTGCTGTGGAGTAAGAAAACTCAGGAAGTGGCTAGAGGCAGGCTGAGGACAATATCATCTGATGCTCCCCTCTTACAAGTGTAGATGGCCCATCTTTATTTGGTCAATGACCAGCACAAAATAAACAGACAACAAGGCGAAAATACAAAGTACATCTAGGAACGGAATTATATGCAAGAATATAATATTTTAGCATCAAAATTATAATCTATAAGACTGGAATAGTATAAAACTAAAACCAACACAAGATACTTTCTATAACTAAAAAGATCATATTTTAACAGTTTAGCTATAAACTATGGCTCGGTGGAATTCAATCAAAGTTCCATCGAATCAAATAAAGTCAAGTGAAATTATCCCTATACCGGCTTTTGTTTTATTTCCATTCTGGCAACACACCATGTAGTTACTGAGAAAGGGATGAAAGATTTCAGTTTTTCTAAAGGAACTTCAGAAAGCGCTTGCCTGATTTCCAGCATGTTTGCAAACTAGCAAAATAAGATTGGTCCAAAAGGTGCTGTAAAATTTACCGTGTGACAATTCATGGGTGATTGTTTCCATCTCATTAAAGCTGCATGGGGAGGTGAACTCAGTGAATGGAATTTTAACAAACCTGCCTTGCAGCAACGCAGGGAAAAGGATGTTATGTCTAGTTTTTTTCTTAAAAATATTTTTCTCAGCTAGGGGAAGATGGCCTGTACCCATATCAGAACAAATAGGAAGCGTGGATCTATTTTTACAGATATGGGACTGTATGGGACGCACAACTTCAAATTATATTTTTTATGAATGGTTAATAAATTCAATCAAGAGGATTGTCAGGGCATCTTCCAACTTTCTTCTTCCAGAATCTTTCCAGTTTTAATGTCAAGCTGATAGGTCTGTAGTTTCCTGGATTCATTCCCCACCCCCTCACTTTTTAAAGGTGGGAATTACATCAGCCCTTTTCCAGTCCTCTGGTGGTTCCCTGGTGCTCCAAGGATCTTTGAAAGTTATGGTTCAGTGATTCTGAGATCATCTTTGCCAGTTCCTTCAGAACCTTAGGGTGTAATCCATCTGTTCCTGGCAGTGATGGGTTTCAAAAATTTTTACTACCGGTTCTGTGGATGTGGCTTGGTGGGTGTGGTGTGGCTTGGTGGGTGTGGTTTGGTGAGCGTGGCAGGGGAAGGATACTGTAAAATCTCCATTCCCTCCTCACTCCAGGGGAAGGTTACTGGAAAATCCCCATTTCCTCCCAATCAGATGGGACTTGGGAGGCAGAGAATAAATGGGGGCGGGGCCAGTCAGAAGTTTTACTACCGGTTCTCCAAACTACTCAAAATTTCCGCTACCAGTTCTCCAGAACTGGTCAGAACCTGCAGAAACCCACCTCTGGTTCCTGGTGATTTAAAGTCATGTAGACTGGATAAGTGTTCTCTTACCATTTCCTTGCTTATTCAGATTGGCATTTCTAATTTTACAGTTGTTGTTGTTTTGATAGGATGGACAGTTTTTTTCCTTTTGTGTAAAGACAAGTGCAAAAAAATGAGTTAAGCGGTTCTGCTTTCTACTTGCTGCTCGTCACCTTCTTGCTATTTTCTTTCATTAATGGATCAATGTTTCCTTGACTTTTGTTCTTGGGAGAAGAAATCTGATGTAGCTTCTTTCCATTCTTCTGGCAAATTAGCGTTGTATTTATTTGCAAATGTTGCATCTCTTTTTGGATTTATTCAGAATATTACATTCCGCTCAATAATTCCCCAATTACTCTAAGAATCCGCTTTGAAAGAGAACTGAAGACTCCAATGCTGCACATACTTTCCAGAGAGATTAAGCACAATACTAAAATAGAACGAAAAGATCTGTTCGTGTAAAACATTTAGCCGCTGCCCTGTGACATAAATAAAATGAGCTGGCCTTTGGTAACACTTTTCAAAATCTGGCCCCCAATAAACTCTTCCTTTTCAGTCCACAGGACAGGACAAGTTATTCATCTCAGTGGCCGAGTGCTTGAGCACAATTGGGCAGCAATGTGGAAATCAGCACTTATCTTCTGTGCAATTAGTTAAACTGCTCTGGAAGTGCCTGAATATATGGCTTGCAGGATTAGTACAAAAGAGAGTAAACAGAGAGAAAGAAGTATGGTCAAGCACTGTGGTTACAGAGAGAGTGAAAGAGGATCAACACAAAGGCAAATATGTAAAAGAAAAATAAATTGGTCAGGAGGAAAAAGGGGAGAAAGATATGTTTGGATAGAATTGATAAAATATTTTTTTAAAAAAGAGAGGTGAGAAGTTTAAAGTGTACTGTAAGAAGTGGTAAATGAATATGGTAGAAACCAAGATGATTTTATAAAGATAGAAACCTATCAAGTATGGTTAAAAACTAATTTTAGCTGTGTTTCTTTCTTTTTTTTTTATTCTCATGCCTTCAGTTTCTTAGGCATTATTATTTCTTTCCGTTCTTCTGCATTCCGTACAAGATGTCTTGTCTCAAAAAAGCATAATATAATACATATAACTGCATTTGAAATATCCAACACGACAAATTCATGTTGTATATATGCTAAACACCCAACACAAAAATTAAAGATGATAATCATAAAACATCATTTTAAAAAACATACAATTATTTTAACCATTCTTATAGGAGTTCCTAGACCTCTTAGGAATTGGGTCACTTTGCTGAATGTATTCTCCTTTGCCTGTGTCTCTTTTGTATGTGATAACTCAGAATTCAGAACATTATTCCAGATATAGCCTGACTGACACAAACTATAAAATGACTTGCCTCATGGTGGATTGAACTAGGATATTGATAGAACTCCTTGGAGGTATTTTGATTTCATATGCACCAAGATGAGTAATATTCCAGCCAATAGAAAGTACAGAATACTAACATTGCCAAATTAATTGTATCTATATGAATGTGGACACATTTTGAAATATCAGGAATCTCAAAACATATTTTCTACGATTGAGCTGTAATGCGCTAAGTATGTTGTAATATTCAGCATGAGGAAAAACTAATACATGATTATCTTAGCATAGGATGCAGCTAAAAGTGAACTCACACCAAAACATATCCAATAATCAGGTCTCATATTTAATATTTCAATATATTTGATCTCCTTGTGGGGTTCCCAGGATTTATTCCTTTGGCACATTGTTGGTTGGTCACTCACAGTTTTTGACATTATTCCATCTGTCTTAAAAACCCAAATGCTGACACTAAAGTCAATCAAATTACAATATAATTTATTTGATTACTACCTTTTCAATGACTCAAGATCTTTTCTCAAATGCATTTCTTAAATTTAACAAAATTGGGAATGACATAACAAGAGGATTTATATGGAAGGTTGTTTTCAAAGTGTTTGATACAACCATGAGCTCTGGCAAAATGAACAGTGAGTTTCTCAGGATGCTGCATATCCAAATAGATAATATTTCTTTTCCTTTCTATTGGAAGATTAACCAGTAACTCAATTATGTGCCAGGTAAGATCTAAACCAGTCTAAGCTTTAAGCCCCTACATACTTATCTTTCATTTTAAATTTAATAGATCTTTTCTAGTCAATGACCTAATAGTTAGAACCGTAATCCCATCAATATCAAAAGATCAGGATCTAAACCCAAGTTCTTTGGGGAAAGCAACCCACAAATTGGCTTACAACATAATGACAAATTGCATTTATTTAATCAACTTCAATTGTCCTCCAATGTAAAATAAGACTTACCAGAGTGAAGATAGACTAAAGACATCACGCTGTTCTACTTCCCAGCTCAAAGCAGGGCCTCGTTCCTCTTCTGGGCAACTATATAGAAAATATAGAAACCTCTTAGAGAAGATGGTATTCAAACTCAAAAGATAGCTGTAATTTTTGTATGATCACTCAGTTGCAGTCCACCCATGCAGTTGAAGCCTGATAGAAGGTAATCTCTTGAAGACTTTGAAATTGGTCAACTTCTCCCCTTTGGAAACTTGACTTCAATTGCATCAAACTGTGCAAAAGGAGACCTCTTTTTCTTGCAATATGAAAAGAAAGTAGTACGCTGTTGTTCTTATTTAATTACTAATCCAAATAGGATTATGATGGCAGAAAAGCTACTTAGGTGACAAATGCCATCTGCACAGACCAATGAGACACAACTGATGATGACAGGAGTGTCATTATTGCTAAAGATTGAGCCTCAGAGCTTCAGAAAAATGCTCTGGTATGGTCCTAGAAGAGTAGGCTATGATCTAAACTGTTTTAAGCTCCCTTCCTTGATAAGAAAGATGTAAGCCTCATAGGTAAATCACACACTGCAATTACTCCTAGAAACAAGATTATAGGACTGCATCCTTTGGGGCATGTTTTAATTCTATCCACCCATCCTTGAGTCAGCAGAAAACTGCACCAGTATGAACTCTGCTGTTTCCATTGCTGATCTTTCTCCTACCTATATTCTCAGCAGCTTGTCTTGTCAGCCCCGCTAGATAGACTGGAGCAGGAAATCAACTCTAAAGGAAAGCTAAAGACTTTTTAAAATGGATATGGCTTATAATAATAGAATCTTGAAAGCCTCACTGGTGTATCTCCTCTCTTTGTTATACACCAGTGAACTGGAGAGGTGTCTGATGAGTTGTTTCTGAATGTTATGCCATAGTTCTAGGCTTTAAAAATGCTACAGTTGCTTCTAATGGTCCCTACATATTTCCATCAATTTCATCTTCCTCACTCTCTACACCTACTCTTCAAGATAAGGAGTGAAAAGTCTAATAGATTGTAGACATATTAAGGCTGCCCTTGGATGTTGTGAGAACAGGGGTAAAAATACTACTTTAACTCCAGTACAGCTAAGGAAGATTAAGGCTTCCTGTCTCATGGACTAAGGACAAGATGAAGACCACTTTGTGAAACAATTGAAAAAAGATGTCAGGACATGTTGTGTCTTATGGCTAGGGGCCAAGAGGGATGCAACCATAATTGTACTCTTCTGCAACGGCTATTATTTGCAGCTATTCCTATTTTGCGTTTGTAATTTCTGTAAATGGTTTTGAAATCCCCGATAAAATGTTCCACTTTGAAATAATATTCAAAAGTTAAAATAACATTTCAAGGAACTTGCAGAAAGGTATGAAAAACTAGTCGTGTTTCACTCTGGCCATGCTTTCCTGAATTTTCTTTCTCTTACATAGTTCAGCTATACAGTTGGAAGGAGCTTGAAAGGATCATCTAATCCAATTCCTGAGTTACTTAATTCAGATTCTTCATTTCAGAATGTTATTGCCAAGTTCCAGATCAATGATCATCATGCCACTATTGATTCCAACCTTCCATTTGTTAGGAAGATATAAAAGCTTATGGCAGATCTACCCATAGAGAGCCTGTAGATCCTTTTCAATCAGAGTCTAAGCCCTGGTTTGGGATGGTGACAGGATTGGCTGAGGCATCAGTTGTGATTCTACCTGTGGAGCAGGAGGACCTGGCACATTAATCCATGCTCTTATTGCACCTTGTTGGTCTATTGTTACGCTTTCTACTCTTAAAAACTATCTAAAAACTATGGTAAATCTAAAATGCAAATAGGCAGTGTACTATCTGTTTCTAATTGTTGAGACCAGTTTTCTGGACCCTGCATTGGCTTTGGAGTACAATTTAAGATGCTAGTTTTAATCTAAAAGTCCTTGATGGTTTGGTACTTGGAGATGTACTGAAATTCCTAGTCCTACCAATACTGACTCAATTAATTCAACTGAGCAGAGAGGTACCTCCCACATATTTGGGAGGTCTAGGAAGGCTGAAATGAGGAAGATTTGGCAGCACTGATGCTGTGGGGCAGCCTCCTGGTTAACATCAGGCTAACCCCTTCCTTGCTAACATTTTTGAAGTGTCTAAAGACTGAGCTGTTATGCACAGCCTTCTCCTGTTTTTGTTAACCCATCTATATTCTCTATGTTTGTGGTTTTATTTGGATGGGATTGTGAGTGGGTTTTTTGTTTATAATTATATTGATTTTTATTTGGTGTTATGTAAGTCAGCAGAGGTCACGGAATTGTGATAAGATAGAATCGAGGCAAATAAATAGATAAAGGAGAAACCCTTCCATACTTCCACCTCTCACAATACTAGACAACACAGTATCAACAGTAGATACCTTCAAATTTCTAGGTTCTACCATATCGCAAGATCTAAAATGGACAGCTAACATCAAAAACGTCATCAAAAAAACACAACAAAGAATGTTCTTTCTGCGCCAACTCAGAAAGCTCAAACTGCCCAAGGAGCTGCTGATCCAGTTCTACAGAGGAATTATTGAGCCTGTCATCTGCACCTCTATAACTGTCTGGTTTGGTTCTGCAACCCAACAAGACAGACACAGACTTCAGAGGATAATTAGAACTGCAGAAAAAAACAGTTACTACCAACCTGCCTTCCATTGAGTACCAGAATACTGCACGAGTCAAAAAGAAGGCTGTGAAAATATTTACAGACCCCTCACATCCTGGACATAAACTGTTTCAACTCCTACCCTCAAAATGACGTCATAGAGCACTGCACACCAGAACAACTACATACAAGAACAGGTTTTTCCCGAACACCATCACTCTGCTAAACAAATAATTCCCTCAACACTGTTAAACTAGTTACTAAGTCTGCATTACTATTAATCTTCCCATTGTTCCCACCACCCATCTCCTTCCACGTATGACTGTATGACTTTAACTTTGTTGCTTGTATCCTTACAATTTATCCTTACTTGGCCAATAAAAAATTCTATTCTATTCTATTCCATTCCATTCCATTCCATTCCATTCTATTCTATTCTATTCTATTCTATTCTATTCTATTCTATTCTATTCTATAAATAAATATTAAGGTAACATTAACAAACCCAAAATACTAGTTTTTGCTGCTGAATACTTTAATTATTGATTAGGATCCTTTTTCTGTTTAGCTAAAATTTTAGTCGCTGATTCTATTCCTGGCCGTTCATCAATAGAAAATAAGTTTGTGTCATCTTCATTATCTTTCAGTTATCTGAATACAGCAAGTCAAGAGTGTAACTGAAAGAATGGAATGCAGCAATGAATCTCTAAATCCCGCTTCCTGCTTAGCAGTTACATGATTTGGTGGCTTTGGGTATGTCATTTTAAGGCTTAGCTCCATTTCGGAGCAAAAATATGACCTATTTTACAAGGTGTCGCAAGACTTACTGATCATATATGTGAAATGCTCAGATACCAGGGATTATCGTTAAGTCCCCTGCTCTCCAGAAGATAGTTCTACCTTCTTTTATTATAACCATCTATTTTATGTGTGTAATGCCTTTTCCAAATGTTAAATTGCATGGTGCAAAAATAGCAGCCCAGGTTCTTAATTGTCTAGCAAATTAGTTGGCTAGAAAGAAACCTTTTCAGGCCTGATACTCACTCTTACAATGTCTTCTTAGGGAAATTTATTTGACACCAAGTATTTTTCCAGCATCAGCACATAAATGTGTTGCAGTTTTCTCTCTCTCTCTCTCTCTCTCTCTCTTTCTTGCAGTTGATCTTATCTGCAGATTCTTTAATTAAGACTGTATTTTAAAATCATATTTATAGGTATCATTACTATCAATATTTAGTGCAAAAATGGAATAGAAACCTTTTTAATTTAATTGGTTAGTGGGCTTCCTTAAGTGATACTTTCTCTTGTGTCTAAGATTTCCTTGGTTCCTGCTGGTATTTTACTTGCACGATACACTAGGAGGAACGAAGGAGATATACTTGGCAGGAGGGAAAGGATAAGTCTTTCATAATCAGAGATATTTAGATTCCAGGAATAGCAAGAGGCAGCCAGTACTGCTGATTGGATTTTCAGCTTCAGCATTTTGCTCCCTTGAATGACATTAAATGCAATTGCAGAATATATTAACCCGTGGTTGACTTAACCTCAGTTACTCAAGTTTTTGACTTTGACAAGGAAAAGTAATCCATGGAAGAAAGACACACACACACACACACACACACACACACACACACACACACTGTCCTGGACATAACTTTTGAGAATCACTTTTGAATGAAACTAGAGATTTGCAGCATTTTCAAGTGATGTCTTTACATAGATCTGCATAGGCAAACAGAAAGGGGAATTCAGACAATGTTCTTCTTTTGGAAGTATTATGGGGGTGGGGGGGTGGAGGGTTGTATCTTTTCCAACCTGAGCCACATCAAAATTGAAATACAATCCAGAAATCCTTTCCCATACCTGTGGTGTCAAAGATTCTGTATCACCATGTAAACATGATGAAGTAAATAAGTATAAATAAATCCTGACTTGGAAATATTGTTTGATGGAACTTGTATGAAGACACTCCTTTAGGGCAAGGGGAAGATGCATGGACACACAGTACAGCTTATTTAGCATAAGTACCATAACTTATTGAAAAAAATCTTATAAAGTAGAATAAAATTATGTCCAGCTGCCTATGATTGGTCACTGCTGTATATTTTAAATACCAAAACTCTGACAATTGGATAGATTAAATAATTCAGAAAGCAAATAAAAATAAGAAAGAAGGCAGTGTTATCCCTGATGGGAATCAGCATTTTGTGGTCACGTCAAGTACTAATGCCAAGTCTGTTTGTTGCAACCCTTATCGTATACAATAGAGTAGGATCTGGGTGATCAAAACCTTGTTTTTCCGCCAGGCCGGGCTATCAATGTAAAGATTTTAATTGGTTTTAAATGTAGGATTTTAAATTTGGGGGTTTTATAATTGAGCCAATTATTTAATAATTTTAATTATTTTTAAATTTTGTCTATCTTTGTGCTTTTAATCAGGCTGTACACCGCCCTGAGTCCTTCGGGAGAAGGGCGGTATAAAATAAAATTATTATTATTATTATTATTATTATTATTATTATTATTATCATCATCATCATCATCATCATCAGCATCAGCATCATCATCAGCATCATGGGGCAATTCAGGCTTCAGGGCTTTGGATTTGCCCATGAAGTGTAAACTAGGAAACGCTGCTGGTCATATCTTTTATAGTTGCTTCAGCATTGCTCAAATCCCAATTTCTCCTTACTGAGGAAAATCAGCTTGCTTAATCTGAAAACCTGCTTAGCCAGGAGACTTTAGACCTGTCTGCTTAACAAGAAAAGCTGCAGTTCGTACAGCCAGAGGAAGATGCTTGTTGAAGTTAACATAGGAAAGTAGCAGTAGTACCGGCAAGATTGGCTAAAATGTACGCAAATATGAAACCGGACTGTTGGAAGTGTAAATATAAGGATGGAACATGTGGTGGCAATGCCCCAAAGCAAAGAAATATTGGGAACAGATAAGGAGATGGTTACAGAAGATAACAGGAGAACAAATTGAATTTAAACCTGAATTATTTTTATTAGGAATAATTAATCAAAGGATAAAGAAGCAACTCCAACATATCATTTTACATATAGTAACAGCAGCACGAATTGTTTATGCCCAATGTTGGAAACTTGAAAATATACCAGTCAATGAGTGGATTATTCATAAGATATTAGAATGTGCCGAGATGTATAAGCTCATGTTAGAAATAAAAGGCAAGGAAGAAACAGAATTTTATGAGGTTTGGGATAAGTGGTATAAGTGGTTAGAACAGAGAAACAAAAATGTATAGAAATAAATGTAGATAACTGTAAGAGACACATGACACAGTTCTGTTAAAAAATGCTTATTGTTATGTAAATTGGAAAAATGGAAAATATATATATATATTTAAAAGAAAAGTAGCAGTAGTGATAGTAGGGGTGGTAAAACAATGTGTTGATGCCAAATGATATTAGCTCTGGTTCTAGAAAAAATAGTTATGTAAGAAAAAGAAAGATATCCTTATGTGTATAATTAACTTTCGGTGCATATAATAATATAAGGTACTATAATTTGAAATAATTTGTTAACCCCTGCCTGTTAGTTCAGCATTGTACCTCATTATTGCAGATAAGGGTTTAGGCCAAGAGATGTTATAAGGCTGCCTTGAATTTCATAGTTAGGATGAGGTTACTTTTTAAAGTGTTTACTCATAATTTGTGATTCTTGAAAGAGCATGAGGATTGGCAAAGAAAGCATGGATAAGAACATAAGTGTCGGATATAAGGCACAATGATGCCATATGTCACGACACCTTCACATAAATTATGTCATTTGTGTGGTGATGTCATATCACGTGTGATTTTATGTAACCTTTCCTCTGCCTGCTTTTCCTGATTTCTCAGGTCATCATATTTTGCGTCTTCTGCTCAGTCTCCCTGAAGATGGGGGTGGGGAAGGAATAAAGAAATAGGAAAGGAAATATATAGCTAGGAAAAAGTTAAGCAGCCTCTTCTGTTTGCTGAGTCTCCCACACAGACGCCCCTTGCCTGCCATCCATTAGAATGATAAAGAAGTCACAAAAGATTTTTTCCAGTGCTGTGATTGGAATTACATGCCCAGGGCCCCTGGTTTGGAGTTAAAAAACAACAGATCTTCAAGGCTTTGTAGAAAGACAGCAGGTTTGGGGCAAGTCTAAACTCTACGGAATGATATTCCAGAGCAGGGGTCTCCAACCTTGACAATTTTAAGCCTGGCGGACTTCAACTCCCAGAATTTCCCTAGCTTTGCTGGCTGGGGAATTCTGGGAGTTGAAGTCCGCCAGTAATCCCAGAATTCCCCAGCCAGCAAAGCTAGGGAAAATCTGGGAGTTGAAGTCCGCCAGGCTTAAAGTTGTCAAGGTTGGAGACCCCTGTTCCAGAGTGTGAATGCCTCAATTGAAATAGGTCTCCTTCTGGGTCCCGCCAGAATGTTACTCTCTAATGGGCAGGACCCAGAGCATTCCTTTCCTCTCAGATCTGACAGGACACGTAAATCCAACCGAGGAGAGACAGTGCTGCAAGAAACCTAGCTCCAAATCTTGAAGGGCTTTAAAGGTGACAACCAGCACATTGAATTAAACCCAGAAGCATAGTGGCAACCAATCTGTCCTGCAGAGCAGGGACATCACACGCACCAAATGGTAACCACCCATAGCTGCCAGCATCACAGCATTTCAGACTACTGTGGAATATTCCGCTACATAAAACAAACATAAAATCTCTGGCCTCACTCAAACCCTAGATTACATCCTTGCTTTCTGATCTGCTGCTGTGTTTTGCTTGTTGTTTTAGTGAGAGGATTTGTTTTTATGTACAAGAGCAGCGGAGTGTCTACATTTCTCTGGAAATTCAGGTGCTACAGAACCAGATCAGCCATTCCAATAACAGGCATAAGGCCTTCCTAGTCTTCCAGTTGATGAATCAGAATTTTCTGTTTAATTCTCAGTTGCTCGGCTCTTAATGCTCAGTGGCTGCAGTTAATCTTTAAAATAGAAATCTCAGGGTTGAAGTGGCATTTCTGTTCAAGAGCCACAAAATCAACTTCCATGCATGTTTTCTCAAATCCTGTGCAATCTGGCTCAGGCATTCAAACCCTATCTGAAGCTACCAGCTGTGACTGGTGGCATGTGTACCATGGAAGGACTCATAAATCATTCCCATGGGATACTAGGTAAGTCACTATAACTTTAAATCTCTACCATGCATATGTATCTAAGCATTTCATAAATGAGTAAAGTCAGATTTTTTTTTTATCTCCATTGAATCCTTTGATAGGCAGATGAACATGAGATACAAAAGTTAAGACTGGGCTGCCGTAAGGGCCGTGCTTTGGAAGGGAGTATGCAAGTATGTCTTTGTAATAGAACCTTTTCTTCCAGGGTTTTGCATCGTAAACCAGTGTCTCCTAGCAACCAATCCAGGAAGGATGGCCAATTTAACTGCGGAAGGTGTGGAAGCTGTCCTTCAGCTGCAGGTAAAAAAAGCCGGGAAAAAGTTTAAGGTAATTCTGGTAGAGGGGAAGGAAGAGCCCCAGAAAATCTTGGTGAAATATAAGATCGTAGTTTGCCAAGTTCCATTCCCATGGAAACCAGGAGGACCTTTAAATAAGGCTAAGTTCAGAAGCCTTCCTGTCTTCTTCCTGGAGAAATCTTGAAGGCTTGCATTTGTAAACTTTCCGTTTTTCTTCACTGTTTTGTTTTTTACTTTATTCTGACCAAGAAAACATGGTTTTTAAAAAATGCTGTTGCACGGCGTCTTTTGATTTTAAAAGTACTAGGAGATGCATTGATTAAAGTAGCCTAAAGAAGCCTCAGCCAGATTCTGGCTGTGCAGTTGAATGTTACAATTTGGTCTGATGCTGACATTTTAAATCCAGAGAGGGGCTTTTCACACTGGGATTTTATATGTTTATATATGAGAGGTGGAACTTGGTGGCAGTTTTTCTTTAAGAACAATGAAATTAATTACTGGATTCTTGGATTGTTTTGATATTTCATTTTCTAATCTAGTGATGACAAACCTTTTGTGCTTGGCATGTCAAAAATTCAGAAAAAAATTGACTCGACTCCTCTCTCTCTCTCCCTCCCTTCCCCCTCCCCCTCCCCCCCCCCCCCCCCCCCCCCCACCCAAAACAATTCTGTCTCCCCCCCCCCCCAGCACTGAGGAGTAGGATGCAAGGGCCCAGCAGCCCACTGCTCCCCAGGATCCGCCATGCACCACTTACCTTCAGGTGGTTTCTTTCTGTTGAAAGGCCTCGAGGCTGCTCCAAGTTGTACAAGGCCTTCATTCTTGAAGCAGCTCTTCCACAGCCTCTGTACCCTCCAAAAACCACACAAAAGAACCTCACATAAGAGCATGGCCCACTTGCGCACCTTCCAGAGGGTCTGGAGGCTGTGTGAGAGCACATCCCATTCTTGTGCAGCCTCAAACATTGCCCAAAAGCATGTCTCGTTTTTGCATGATTTCTGGAGGCTGTGGAAGCAGCCCGTTTTTGTGCAGCCTTGGCAAGATCCAAAAATTGCTGAAGAAGAGGGCATGTTTTTGAGAATACTTGATAAGTATTGGTAAATACTAGTGTGTCACCCAAAACATAATGCCATGTTGCTTTTGACACATATGTCATTGGGTTGCTATCACTGTCCTAACTAACCTTTATCCATTTATTACATTTTCATAATTCACCAGCTCAGATTGGAATAAAGGATTGTCCAGAGAGACAAAGAATTTGACTGGCCTAATATCACTTCATGTATTTTGTGGCAAAGCAGAGATTTAAACTTCTGTTTTGTTTACTAAAGTTTCCATTTAGGGGGGAAAAGACACATTGCTGTTCAGCAATTCCAGTTTGATTCTGATTTTGATGGTGAATAGTCTATTAATATTTAAAAACTGATTATTATTGTCCATAGTCTGGAGTGGTCCAACTCAACACAGAATTAAACTAATGAATTATAGGCAGATCAAATCAAATCAATTTTATTACAGTCAAAGAGACCTGAACAAATAAAAATATTCAAGGAATATCCAGTTACAATTCTAGAATAAAGTAATAAATAACAGATGAAATCTATATTAAAATCACAATTTGGCATCCAATCTGTCAGGTACACATGGCCTAGCTATATTATAATATCAATCCTTAAACTGTGAGGCCCATAGTCATTAAGTACTAAAATGCAAAAGAGTAGTAGTGCAAAAAGGGGTTGCTACACTAGTTGTGTAAAATAGCTATGTTTTAGCTATGTTTTAGCTATGTTTAGCTATGGAGGATCAATCACGTGTTTCCAATGAATTCCCAGTGGATTATAGGCAGTATTTTCAAATTTGATTATTTATTTATAAATTGCACTAATCCAGGGTTGGGCAACTGTGGCCTTTTTACAACCTGTGGACTTTAACTCCCAGAATTCCTGAGACAGCCAAGCTGTCTCAGGAATTCTGGGAGTTGAAGTCCACAGGTTGTAAAAGGGCCACAGTTGCCCACCCCTGCTTAATCCATAGTATGTTTTTTTAAAAAAAATACAGTGTTGTATTATCCCAGCAACTGTGTTTTGCAAAGCATGATTTGTGGTGGATTATAGTTTTGAACCAGGTCTCTATGGTTGGTTCAGAAAATTCTATCTAAACAATGTTTTAATGTGATGTGTGAAGCCAACCACAGAATTGGAATTTTATAACTGGCAGAAATCTTAAAAGTTAATCTAATTCACCCCTCTGGTTAATGCGAATCTACAATTCAGAATGCAACTTCCACATGTCTTAAACCTTTTTTCAGGCTGAATTCTTCTACAAAGTGCAGTATGTTGCCAGATGGAAACATCCCAATGTCACCTTCATTTTAAGAGCTCTATAAAAAGAAAAAAAAACCCAGGTATATTCTTTTCCCACTAGACTGTTTCAGAACTGAAAACAAAACTTAATTGGGTGACAAAGCTCTTTTTATGAGGCTCCTTTGTTCCTTTCAATGTCTTTTGAGATAACATATTTGGCCAAAATCTTATATTGTGTTAGCAAAACCCAGGGGTTGTGTTCATATAATAGTATGCTAGAATTTGCTGCATCTCTTTTTGTCATTAGAAATTGACACCTTTTTTTAAAAAAGTCTAGATCTGATAGCCTATGGCGGGGGTGTCAAATTCATGGCGTCAAATTGATGTGATGTGACATATTGCAACTTTTTCCCCTTCGCTAAACTGTGGATGGGTGTGGACAGGGCATGATGCCTCCAGCCCATTGCAAGTTGGCAAATGGGCCGTTTCCAACCTCTGGAGGGCCTCGGGTGGGGAGGAGGCTGTTTTCACCCTCCCCAAGCTCCTAGAAAGGCTCTGGAGGCTGAGGAGAGAGAAAACAGGCCTTCCTCACCACACCCTGAGGCCCTCGAAAGGGAGGAAACACCCTGTTTCCCTAGTGGGCCCAGAAGTCCCAAAAATCAGCTGGACCTGTGGCACGCGTGTCATAGGTTCACCCTCATAGGCCTAGAGTATCATAAAATTTTAAAAATGGGGTGCTGGATAATTGATGGGATAGTCCAGGCCAGGTTATAGTATTTATTTATTTATAAAATTGATAGGCTATAGGCAGGAAGGATTCTGATATTGGACTTACCACAATGTGGGCTTAGGGTAGCTTTATGTGTTTTTGTGTGTACTTAGGGTAATTTTATGTGTTTATGCAGCAGAGGCATTACAGTTGTGTCTGGAGGAGTACAACCCATTCAGAACTAAAGGGGGGAAATCCACCACACTGGGAAAACTAAGAGTAGCCACTCAGTTGTATCAGGTTGAGTATAAACTTACTCCTCTTCTTGAAGACCACAATAGCCTCCAGCCCGTAGAAAAAGCCTTGACAGTGTCAATTGGTTGATGTAGAATTGAGATGTACAACTGATGATACCTGACCCTATGTTGAAGAATGATCTCACCTAGTGGCTTTATGTAGATATTAAATAGAAGGGATGAGATCATTGATCCTTTGGCACCTCACAAGTCATGGGTTTAGGCTTGACTTCCCTCCCTTGTCAACACTGATAACCCAGCAGGCAGACCAGCAGAAAGTTCAGCAAGCAGATAGTCCTACAGGCAAACCTGGTAGCTGACCAATAGATAATCTTTCAAAATAAACTGACCAGGTAGGACCTTGACTGTAAATAGTATAGTATAGTATAGTATAGTATAGTATAGTATAGTATAGTATAGTATAGAATAGAATAGAATAGAATAGAATAGAATAGAATAGAATAGAATAGAATAGAATAGAATAGAATAGAATTCTTTATTGGCCAAGTGTGATTGGACACACAACGAATTTGTCTTGGTGCATACGCTCTCAGTGTACATAAAAGAAAAGATACATTCATCAAGAATCGTAAGGTACAACACTTAATGATAGTCATAGGGAACAAATAAGCAATCAAATCATATTAGGAAACAGTCAATATAAATCTTAAGGATACCAGCAACAAGGTTACAGTCATACAGTCATCAGTGGAAGGAAATGGGTAATAGGAACAATGGGAAGATTAATAGTAATGCAGACTTAGTAACTAGTTTAACAGTGTTGAGAGAATTATTTGTTTAACAGAGTGATGGCGTTTGGAAAAAAAACTGTTCTTGTGTCTAGTTGTTCTGATGTGCAGTGCTCTTTAGTGTCATTTTGAGGGTAGGAGTTGAAACAGTTTATGTCCAGGATACGAGGGGTCTGTAAATATTTTCACAGCCCTCTTTTTGACTCATGCAGTATACAGGTCCTCAATGGAAAGTAGGTTGGTAGTAGTTGTTTTTTCTGCAGTTCTAAATGCCGAAATCCAGTGCTCAGACTATAAGGAGCAAGTACTCACTCTTCCATCAAACCCCATCTTCATTGCAGCACTACCATACTACCATCTCTTGGTGAAACTTTGGTGATTTATAATCACCAGTTGTCCTGCTGGAATAACTCCACTCATTTCACTCCAATCTTCAAAATGGGGACTTTCAATGGACCTTTTCTCATGCTGTGCCAGAGTGAGTGTATCCATCATGGGATATTTTTCAAGTCAAGGATCTGTCTCTTTACTATGAGATGACCAGAGTCTCCTATATCTTATCACAGTACATTATCTTACATTGGCCCTGCCTCGAATATCAGCTCCTGACCAGAGTACATTTCAATTGCAAAATCACCTTCAAATTTTCATACAGCTATTTTAATAAAACTCATCACCCACTTGACTAAAGGAACACTAGTACATATCACCATCATCTATGCCACCAATAACAAGCTCTACTCGCTCTACTGTTTATTTTAAAAAAAATAAAATTACTTTAAAAAAGCTCTGCAGTTCTGCACAGGAAAGTTGAGTTTTAAGAATGCTTTACCTGATACCATGTTGAAACTTGAAATTTACCATATGTTCTTAATCATTTAGCACATTTTACAACATCATTGATTTGATGATATAAAATATATTGGTACAGCAAGGACTGGTTGAAATGGAAGATGCTGTAAGTCATCAGAGTGGAAATAGCCACATAGGAGCTGTTGCATTTGTAAGCTTTCCAGAGTAAAGTTGGCTTCTGGGTAGGACAGAAGGCTGGGCAAATTTGATCCTGCATATTGGCCTGTCGTTTTTAAAAATGCTTCCATGATATGAAGCCGTGCCACATACTAACAGCTTTTCTTGTTCTGTGCTTTTTTCAGCAGAAGCCTGGTCGCCTGTTTCTAAGAGATTTGCTGGGGTGGAAGGAGTTTGATGAAATTCAGGAAGTACGTCAGAGTATCAAACTTGATGCCCATTACTATAGCCTGATGTTTGCTGCTAACAAAGGTTTATCCTGGCAAGCTGTAGCAGAAGTGGTAAAATTGACAGGGGAGCTATTGGAGGAAACCCAAGGTAAGTCAAGATTGCATTTGTTACAAAAAAGGTACACTGCAATGGTTTCAGCTGTAAAGGAAACATTTGGGCTGACCTGAGTCAACTTTGCATCTTCTTTTATAGGCAACCAATGGGTAGTCTTTATAGGCTAAGGACTCTTTGTGGAATTTATCAGTGCCTGATGTGGAAGGAATGAGGGAGAACATTTTAGTAACTTTCCTTTCTTCCTTCCCTCCTTCCCTCCCTCCCTCCCTCCCTCCCTCCCTCCCTTCCTTCCTTCCTTCCTTCCTTTTCTTTACCTTATATTATCATTATGGTTGGTTAGCCACACAGTCAGTCAGATGTTTAGACTGAATTTGGCATTTTTGTCCACCTATCGAATCCTTCCCAATAATCTGGGTTAGGCAGATCTTGTTTTAATATTAAAAGTATCATAGGACGTAAGCTGTTCCTAGTAAAGCTGCCTTTTGCAATTGATGGAAGGTGATTTTGTCAATGCTGATGGTGTTCAAGTGATGCTTCAGATGTTTTGGGATTCAACTGTCAGCAGTTTACTACTATTGATACTATACTTGCTTTCTTTTGCCACAGTCATTCTACTTCTATTTGCAAGTCTTTGTAGTTTGTCATTTTCTCCAGTTCTTTCTCTTCTATTTTGCTGTCTTCAGGTATTGCAATGTCCACTATCCACTTGTCTTTCTTATTGACAATTATTAAGTCTGAAGTCTAATTATTAAGTTTGGTGGCAGGTGCTTGTCTGTTTGAATTCTAAAGTCCCAGCACACTTTATCATCTTCATTTTCTATTCTTTTCTTTTGTCTATTTGTGTATTCTTTGCCACTTCTTGCTAGCAGACAAATAGTTTCTTGCAGATACTTCAATTCACCATTGTTTCTTCCAATTCACCATTGTTTTTACTTGTCGGGCTGTGGTTTGTAGTCAGTTTGCGTGATCTTCTTGCAGCAGCTAAGTGGTCCACTGTTTCTTCAATTTCTTTGCAGAAGCGGTATTTGCTGACTGTTGTTATCTTCTCAATTCTGGTTTTGTACACACTTGTTTTTAAGGGTTGATCTTGTGCAACCAAAATTAGCCCCTCTGTCTTTTCCTTCAGCTTTCTGGCTCTTAGCCATCTGCATTGTCTACTGGGTTGTTGTTTTTTTACTTGCCATGTAATACTTCGCCTTGCCATGTTCCTTTCCTATGCTTCATTTGGTCTTTCTTGTAGGTCAGTTTGGTAGTTTGTCCAGTAATCAGTAAATCATCATAGTGTACTAGCTTCAGTGCTAGTATACTTCCGATACCCTTTTTAATTTTTCAACTATCCAGTGTACTTGCAACATTCCATATCCACCTATGATCCTTGGTAAGTAGAATCTGTCAACCTCTCTGCATGGATAAAAGACATGATTCATTGCCATTATTTTTATTATCTTCCAATCCAGGATTTTTAATTCTACTTGAGTCCAGTTCACTATTCCATATGTGTATTTGGTGACTACAATGGTCCTGATGATATATTCTCCACTGAGTTTGTACTTTGAGATCTTCACTGTCCTGATGTATTATTTTCTAACTTTCTTGACTTCAGTGTGCTTAATATGTTCAGTTTGAAGGGTGTCCATGTATTTGTAGTGATCTTCATCCAGACTTCTCACCAACCATCTCACAAGGTTATTATTATGGGAAAAATTGGAGGAGGAAGGAGTATTAGATATGTTTGCCTTGAGTTATTATAAAGATGATAGATAGATAGATAGATAGATAGATAGATAGATAGATAGATAGATGTAGAGATGGGGGGGAGAGAGAAATAATATCTGACAATTGTTTGAAACTGGAACTTTAAATAAACTGAAGGATTGATTTTGGTCGCTCAAAAGCAACCAAGAAACTACAATAATTATACACAACAATATAATACTTGCCAAAATGATTCATTGGAATGTCTATAAAAATTATCATGTGCTGGTACAGAAAAATTGGTGGAAAGAGAGAACTGAAAAAGTCATCAAAATGAGCAAATTTAAATATTGTGTGATTTCCAAGTACTAATTGATAAAGTCTTGGGTCATAACACGTCAGATTTAACAGTGGCTGAAAAGAAGAAAGTGTGGATAATTGATATGGCAATAGCAGAAGATAGTAGAAGACCAGGAATTGAAGAAGACCACAAAGTATCAAGATCTGAAAATCAAAATCAAATATTATTTTTTAAAAAAATTGAAATATTTTTATTGAAGAAAAAAATTGAAAGATTATGGTCCCAGTGGTTATTGGTACTTTATTAGCATTTCTTGGGACAGCAATTTAAAAGATCTGAATGTTGCCAAAATTTTGCAAAAGGCCACACTGCTTGGCTCTGAATATATACAAGCTGATACATTACAACATCCTAGGTTGTTGAGAAGAACTTGTATGAAGGCCAATACCAAGAACTGATTTTTCACATTTTTGTGTATATAATAATAATTATTATATAACTTCTTACTGGCCTTAATACCATTTTTGATCCTTACATGTTTGATTGAACAGTATTTAGAAACTGACCATCTTTTGCCCCATATTGAGATTGTGAGCAGTATACATTAAAACAACAAAATAACAATAACAAACTTGTTTCAATAGAAATAATCCTTCGAGTATTGCCAAAGTCCTACTATTTGTATTTTGAAAATTAACATCAGCTGAGCGGGGACTGCACACAAACATGAGCACAAACATTCTTAGAGGTGGCTGCATACAGCACTTTGCCTCCCAATTCCCCTTCAGAGTGATTAAGGGCAATTTGAGTACTGTAAACAGGAAGGAACTCCAGATGACCTCACACTCCTCATGGCGTATGAATTCTATTTTGTTTGCTCATGAGGCTTCAGTATAAAGGCAAAAAGGATTGTCACTTCATTTGTTCTGCTTCTGAGCCATTGAGAACAGTTAACATGCAGAAAATTGATAAAGCTTTTTATCCTATAATTATTGATTTCTATAGTAATTGTTAAGGGATGCAGTGGCTCAGTGGCTAAGACACTGAGCTTGTCAATCGAAAGGTTGGCAGTTCAGTGGTTCCAATCCCTAATGCCGCGTAACAGGGTGAGCTCCCGTTACTTGTCCCAGCTTATGCCAACCTAGCAGTTCAAAAGCACATAAAAAATGCAAGTAGAAAAATAGGGACCGCCTTCGGTGGGAAGCTAACAGTGTTCCGTGCACCTTTCGCATTTAGTCGAAGGTGACCAGATGTCCCGTTTTTGGCGGGACAGTCCCGATTTTTAGCAATTTGTTCCTCGTCCCGCGGCGTTTTAAAATAGTCCCAATTTTTCATTCTGCCTCCTGAGTCCCGGCTGCCTCCTGAGTCCCAGCTGATGGCTAGAGGGAAAAAAACTATTTAAACTCTTGCCATGGGGCTTCAAAGGGCCGCCCTACAACTGACCAGTGTTAAAAGAAAACAAATGAGTAGACAGATGCCTGCAAAAATAGAAAAAACAGCCCCTTACAGCTTCCGCATAAGTTAATTAGCACAAGTTGATTAGCTCGGCTTCCCCACTCTCAGCTGATTTGCTCTCAGCTGTTTTGTGCAGGATTCTGTTCTGTTGCTAGCTGCAAAGAGTTCCTGGAGCAGATTTTTTTCCCCCTAGCTGTGCTGAAAAAGCGAAAGCGAAAGTAAGTGTTGCAGCAGGGTCTTTGCTGCAACGTGACAAAATGAGGCAGAGAGAGATTTCTTTTTCTTTTTTCTCACCAAAAAAGGTAGGTGCAAAACTGCAAACAATGGGAAATTTAGGGCAAAAGAGGAGAGTTCAAGATTTTAAAACACAAAAGAAAAAAAGCTCTATTTAACTAGGGAATTGTAATAATTGAGATACTATTAATTGTATATTGTGTTGAAAGCAGAAATGGTTAAGTTGTGGTTTGGAGGAATATATGGGGGAAATTATTTGGTTTATTATTATTGGTAAATATAATTAATTGATTTGTAAGAAATTGGATTGCATGGAAATAATTGGAATATTCATGTTCATATTGATTAATATACAAAAAAGATAGTTATATAACTAATTGATTTATATTAAAATGTTGAATTTGTATTAAACAACTGTATTACATAACTACATAATTAACCAATGTGAGGATGGATATAAAAATAGATGATAATGGGAAGGGGTATAATATAGAATAGAAGGGAAAAATTGAATTTGATTAAGATTAGAGATGAGGATGAAGGGTAATATTGTTTTTTTTAAAAAATAGATGAGGAATAAATATGGCAAAAAGAAAATATAGAAATTGTAAATTTAATTGAAATGACTAAACACTGTGTAAATTTGTGAACCAGCCAAATATTCTGTTCAAAGAAAATACATTGTATGTTTGTATGTTTGTATGTGTGTTTCTAATTATTGCTATTTATTCATATTTGTTCTCTTTTATTCTTTAAAGTTTAACAATTCATTCTTTATCTTAATATCTTTATATTTGTTTGGGGTTGGCTTTCTTCCCTTTCATCTTTTTTATTGTACAGCAATCTTTCTCCTCAAACCTACCACCTCTCTCTTTTCTTTCCTTCTTACTTTCTCTTCCCCCCACCCTCTTCTTCTCCTCCCTACTTCCTCTTCCTTTCTCCTTCTCCTCCTCTCTTCCTCCCTCTCTTACCCTCACTCCTACTCTAATTTCCCTTCCTTTCCTTCATCCCTCTCTTTTGCTGTATCCTTTTATGCATATGGACTACTCAGAGGGCTGAAAAAGTTATTTTTGACTGGTCCTCACACTTTTGACCAGTCCTCAAACTTACGACTGTCCTCACATTTTACGTTTTTGCCCTATCTTGTCATCATGGTGAAGAGAAGCAGTTGTGAAATGAGTGACATGGTTGTTAAGAATGCTGCACGGGCATAAATGTGAGGATGGTCATAAGTGTGAGGACCAGTCAAAAGTGCGAGGACCTGTCAGAAATGACTTTTTTCAGCCCTCTGAGTAGTCCCTATACACATAGCCATGGCCACCCAGTCACATGACCAGCTAGCCACGCC